ATTCGACCGCGCTCCAGTACGAACGTAATGCGATTACGCTGTAAATTTTAGACGACAGGAAAGAAAGGTGCGAAAACTGTCAGAGTTAATATTTATCGGCTGACGAAAATTGTATATACAATATAAAACGCGCGGCGGGTGACAGTCACTATATTACGCTTCGGCGCAGTCATGACTGTACACCTCTTAGGGGGAATGTAGTCACGCAGACGGGATGAATACACACGTCGAACGTATCGCGCAGACCGGCAAATTCATGTCATTTAGGATTGAACCTCGAAAGCCAGAGAGGCCCGGTCTCTCGCGGCGTTGATGTGTGTGTTGATATTAGTAGAGCTAATTTGATAGTTTAATCAATTTCCGTAAGCCGACGGGAGTTTAATAGTGATGTCATCATTTTCAACGGGGTACAATGAGGTTAATCTCGCTCGACGAGCTAATATTCGGAGAGTTAATAGAGTTTCAAATGCAGGCAGGGCCGTTATTTGCCCGCATCCGTTCGCGAACATACACGTATGTCGAGGTATCGGAGCAATGAAAAAAGGATAAACCCAGTCGCGCCGGAAGAGACTTCGGTCGCGACGATAAATCGCGACGCGTTCCGCAATAATTCGTCGCGTTAAACGATCGTTGCGAATCGATAAAAATAAAGATGTCGAATGCGTGTTTTTTTGTTTTTGTTTTGTCTCTTCCTTGACAAAGAGAACAACAATTTGTTTTCATATTCTGCACATGTATATTATTTATTTTTGCATAAAATAGTGATAAACACGCGTTTCTTTCAATTTACGCGATCAAGATATGTACATAAGCTCGCACTCAAAATCAAATTATTAACTAACTATCAATCACGCAAATCTTTTTTTTTCATCAATTTAAAGTATTAAAGTATTTTATTGCCACCCGTAAAAGTGAGTAAGAGAACAATGGCACGATTTTCTGTCAGACGGTCAAACAAAAATCCACACGGCTAACGTGCGCGCATAAGTGGCTATAGAGTCGGCGGATTACGGGGCAGGGGAGAAGGGGGTGGAATTACAGATTCGCGGGTGTGTTTCGCAGTTTTCGTTCGAGCGCGGCCGCGGATACGAATCTCTCCCCAAGCAGGCATATTAGGTGGAGGTACGCAGTTAGGCAATAACCGCTGTCAATAGAAGCCAGCCTCTTCACCTCTCCTGAAGTGGCCCCCACTCGAAAACGCTACTCGCTAAATTAGGTAGGTTATATGGGTTTCGTTTCATTTGCGAGCAAACTTTAATAAACGCTAAAATTGCGTAAAAGAGCAAGGTTTTCAGACGGGCGAGAGTCGGGGTTGGGTTGATCTCTCGTCCCGACAGAGAGAAAGAGAGACAGAAAGAGAGAAAGAAAGAGAAACAGAGAAAGAAAGAGAGAGACGTAGTATTATACAAATACCGCGGACGACTAAAGAATCGCGGCGTGAATATTCGTTCACGATTATTACATTTCATTAGATAATAAATAAAAGTACATATAATAGTTACATCAAGTCATATAAATATAATTATATTTAGTTAAATTATATACCTTAATTATATTTATATAATTATATTTGTTCAATATACAAATTATATTTATACTTTTCCTGCGGTTTTTTTCTTTTTTTTTAGAAATTATTTGAGTTAGAAAGGTTTCTTTTATGCAATTCGATTCGTTTCAAAAATGCATTATGAAACATTAATTTTTATATATATGTTTCTTTATATTTTTGAGTTATCGACTGATTCTTATTTTTTTTATATAATAGTACATATTTTATCACATTGCTTCAAATATGATAATTTTCATTAACCGAGTTGAGTTATATTTGATTAATTAAAATGCCATATTGTCAGAATTTATTTTATGTAACATAAGTACATATGAGATGTAATAATAATGAATGTACAAATTTTAGGAGCTCTTTTAGTATTATCAACAAAAAGTTCAGTAATAATAAAAATCAAACGCTGGAACCTATCGCATTAGTTATTTAATAGAATTGATTGATCGCGATTGAAATTGATTGAGTAGCCAATCAAAGAGATTGGTCCCTAAAACAGGTTCTTTAAACCTGTTTAGTCTATAGACTTTAATTAGAATCGAGGCTAAATTGGAAACTGATCAATCAGTTGACAAAATTTACTAAACCATTAAATGGTAAAACAAAGATAAATTAACGCTCAGAGCGAACGCGAGTATTTGAAGATATTGATTATCAGATAGAGAAATCCGAAAATCCTCTATTTAACCAATCGGCATATTTTAAAGTTTTACTAGTCTTGCGTTGATTTATCAAGATGGCGTTACATATATTTTGTCGATTTTATCAGAGAGAAATCTGAGAGCGATTATGGACGCATTTTACGTGTGCTCGTCCACAAGCGCCGCGATGTCCACATTTTGATGCATATGAACCAACCTAGACAAACTAACCCAGTGAATAATAACAAAATGCTCTGAGATTGAAGAAAATATGCCAGTTTTCGATAAAATAGATTCCTCGCTATCTCGCTGAATTCGAAAATCGAAATATCGAATTGCTTCGATACATTGCTTTTTTATTTTCAGCGCATCCTATATTAAAAAAGGCATGTGTACCAAGAAGTGCGGCGGTGTTACTGACTTCGGTCACGTGATTACAGTATATATATATATATATACATATATGCGTATGTGTGTGTATTATATATAGATATAGAATATTACATATAATATATATAATAATCTCTTTTACCCTTTTTCCTTGTCACGTGTTGTTTTTCCGCTTTTCTCTCTCACTATTTCTTGAGTTTGATTTGCATGCGTTATTTCTGACATTTCTCATATGTGTATTATATGGTTTATATACTATCTGTCATCGCGATGATAGGTTGTGTTCACTGACAACACGTTAAATAAAAATAACAATAGCGTGCGCGTAGCGCGCACTTGTGTTGTGCTAGTGTATAAAAATTGTTTAAAACTTTAAAAAAGCACATCAAAATTTACATTATACATATTATATATATATATATATATATATATATATAATAATAGAATAAAAAGAAAGATTTATAAATACACTACCATAGTCATACAAAAATAGCGAATAAAGAAAATCATATCACGATGTGTGATAGTCTTTATTTGCGCTATTGGAAATCAGTGCGATTGATACACGAATGCAAACACTACTACAATGATAAAAGTTGTTCTTTTTAGCTACATAAATATACATATATTATTTATATTCTTATATAAATTACATGTATGAAAAAGAGAGAAAATTCTTTTTATTTAGCGTGAATAAAAGTAATAAAAATCTCTCTGTAGAAAATCAGTAAAAAAATTAATCTATACTTTAGCTTTAAGTCTCTGCTTTAACTTGTTAATTGTACAATAGAAATATGCATAAATTTTATACTGTAGATGTGAAATAAGTTGTAGCTAAAAAGAACAAATAGTAAAATTTGATTTTGTGACTCATGTTTGTGCGGTCCCTTCGTCGTCCATCGATGTATCTTCCTCCGCAACCCTCGCTTCTCCTTGGAAATGGAATCTCTCCCAGTCGTTGCGTTGTCTCACGTAATCGTAGCACTTTTTTCACTCGCGACGCGGAAAACAAAAAATATACACACACGCGAAACTAAAATTTTACTAAAAACCAAAGTTTATACTTTGATCATCACTACTGAACTTCTCAAAACTCGGATAAGTGAAATCGAAATATAAATGTTGCAACTAAATAGTTTACAGATAAATAAAGTTGAACGCGTAAATTTCTCTAAAATAAAACAATGTTGGCAAAACGCGAATAATAATAAAACAAGACTATGTATTCAGTTGAATAAAACATAATTTTATAACGGTACGAGTGTTTCGGTTTACTTTGACATCTTATTTAATGACATGTTATTTAATGACATGTTATTTTATTTAGTAATATTCGCACTGATTTCGCACCACCACCAAAAAACCCTAAAATATACATACCGAGAGCTGGCCACCTTCTGCTTACAACACACACTCTGTAACAATAAAAATAAAATAAAATTATCTCCTTATTGTCAGATGTAAGAGAAAAAAAAACAACGTTTGAACATCAAGTGTAAAAGTTTTCTTAAATATATGACTTTAAAAGAAAAGTTTTAAATTAGGTTATTATGTTGTACATAAAAAGTTTAAATGGTTACAAACATACCTTCGTGCCAGCACCCGATCGCTCAAATCTTCTCCGTGGTAATGTTGTACAGTTGTCTCAGATATGTTGCTGCGCTGCTTGCTACGATCTTCTTTTTCACAGTTACACTGTAACAATACACTACTGTACAAAGTTTTCACATTGTTCTTTGTTGCGTTTCTGTTTTGTTGAACACGCACGATATTGCGCGTTTCTCGCGCGCGCTTTGCGGAAGTGCGAACGATCGCGAGACGATTTCGTCGTAATGCTCGTCAATTAGCATTACCAGTGAGTGCGCGATTATGCTAATTGTGTACATAACTTCGAACGCGCGATATTATTACGACACACACGTACTACCGATATTTGCACGCGAGACGACAATAATCGCGACAAATCGCGGGACAAGTCGAGCATTAGTTGTGCTTCGCGCGTCGACCATTTTGTTTCACGGAAGCGCGAACGGCCGCGAAACAATTTCACTCGACGATTAACGTTACCGCGGAGTGCGCGATGCCAATTACACATCACCGCGAACGTTCGATGTTTCGCGACACACGCGTGCTACAGATATTTGCGCGCGAAACGATAATAAACGCGAGAAATGTGGAACAATTTGCACGTAGTTTGACAGCTCTGCGTCGCGCGTTCGCCATAACTCCCCGCCAATCCGAGTGTATCGAGTGCGCGATACTTCGATTCTCGAAATATCGAATCGACGCGCGCGCCAGAGCGTGCCGCGCATAGCACGGAACAGAACCAAGTCAACGTAGTTGATTCGCGTGTAGTTTGAGTGTATGCAACGGAGCATTGCGGCGCTCACGAACGGGAACGCTCAAATAGAGCTCACAGCTGTTCTCCGACTTTTCTCTGATTTTGTCACACAGATGTGTTGGTCTCTTTAATATTTTTGTCTGAATAAGACCTGTCATAATACTAATAGCCATCGAGATACCAAACCAAAAAAAAACTTGTTAGATTTGATCAAGAAGAATTTACATGGTTATATTGCTGTGTGCTTGTACAATAACGAGTGTATATTTCTTATATTGAAAATGAGTCTCGTGGCATACGAGAGCAGTGACGAGAGCTCGGAAAATGAGGAAAATGAGAAATCCGAGGAAACGCTTGCTGCGAACAATGCAAATAATGATGCAAATAAAACTGTAACTGTACGAACAAACGTGAAATTATCCTTACCCGCACCGAAAACAGTGTTACAAGAGACAAACGATGAGGAATTAGAAAACGTTGAGTCAGGAAGTTTTCAACATTTTCTCGACTTGCTGCCAAAACCCAAAGTCTCCAATTCTGTAGCACAAATTGTTGAAGAAGACGACGACATAGTGGTGAAAAAAGAAATAAAAAGTCAAATTGTTAAGCCAGCAAAGAAACAGACGGTAAAAATATCAGTGCCTTCTTTATCAGAGGTATGTATTGAAAAGTTTTTTGTAAAAAAAATATAAAATCTCTTATTTATCTGTGCTTTTATATATATATTATTTACTTTATTAGTTTAAAGATCTTGAGGAAGACAAGGAAAGTGAAAAAAAGCCAGCTAGTGTTACACAGCCATCACAAGTAAGTTTGATTTATATGAGCAAACTGATTAATATAACACTTTTGATATGCTCCTCAATAATATCTCATTAATATTTAGTTTATAACCTGTAAATTGTTATTATAGAAAACTTGTGGACTTTTTGCTGTTTTGGTGCCACCAAAGGAAAAAACTACAAACAATAAATCTTTAATACCTCAAGTTGTTAAGAATACATTGAGATCAAATGTTCAGCAACCAAAAGCAGCAAAAAAATCTAGTACAAGTCTAATGAATGATTCAAAAATAAAAAATCCAGTGATCTCAGACAAAACTCATAGTGAATTAAGCTCTGACGATGAAGACAATGAAACTGTAGATTTCTTTGGATTAACTGCAAGCAATCCTGTATCAGATACATCAGACAGTTCGGTATCAGAATTATCTTTACATAAACTAAGCACGGATGAAGCTTCACTTGCAAATCATACAGATCACACAACACAAAATTCTGATATTTTGAAAGATAGTCAAGCAAATAGTACAAGTAAAATATTGATAAGCAACGTTATAAACTTGCCTAAAGAAGAAATATTGTTAAAAAATAAAGCAGAAGTTGGGCCAAAGTTACCCGTTCCAGAGCAAGAATATAACATTGACATGGAAGGTAATGTGGCTTTTGATGAAAAGGCAATTGAGTATCTTTGTGGGAAGAGAGGCATAAAACGAAAAGAAATGGACGAAGCAAATATAATAGAAATAAATGGAGAAGATATAAAACCAGATGAAAGGGAGTGGCTGGTAAAAGCTCTGACAGAAGAGCCCGTTCACAGACCAATATCTATGCAGAGTTGTGGAATTAACTCTCAGTCCAAAAAGAAGCATCAAATAACCTACTTGGCACATCAAGCTAAAGCTATGGAACTAGAATTAAAAAATCAGTGGTCTCAGAACAGAATGACAAGGAAGCAAACACAGTCAAAATATGGTTTTTAAAATAATTTATATGTTTTATAACATGCATATTTTTTATTTTTGACATAAAAATTAGTAATACACAAATCAAGGTAATCCTGAGAACAGAATTATATTAAAAAGTGTACAAAAATATACATTCACAATCTGATATTGCGATCCAAGCTCATTTAGTTTAAAAACATTTGCTCCAAATTTTCATACTCCTTCTCTTTGCTTTCTACCAGTAATTTAGCTTGCAACAAATCAGGTGGCAAGTCATTGTACTGAGCAATTAACTGATTAAGATCCGCCAATTTGTTTCTATTTTCTAAATATAAATTGTATTTTTCTATTATTTGTTCAGGATAAATGTTATCAACTTGCATATCAGTTAACTGAGTTTCTAATTTCTCTGCGGTTTGTTGATATTCTTTCAATTTTGCAGACAAGAAAGTTTTGTTACAAAACATTTCATTCTTGTCTGTGTCTGCAATATCGCCAATGTTTTTAAGGGAATCAACTGCCTCTTGTAGGTGATCAAGCTTTGTCTGTAACTTTGTACAATTTCTGAGTAATTTGTTATACATTACTGACATCTGCTTTTCCTCTCTCTGTCGCCTTTTCTCTTCTACGATTTTTCGTTCTCTATTTACAGATAACGCCGCCTCATCAAATTCAAATAACTTCTCAGATCTAAGTATCAAAGATACTTTTTTCAGACCTTCTTTTATATCGTTAGGTAGTGACTTAACTTCGAGGTTTAGATTAGATAACAAATTTGTGATTTCCTTTGTATATGCGATATTCTCCTCTGTTGTTTCCGATATACTCCTTTGCAATTGTTGAATTAAGAAAGTCTCTTCTGGAGATACATTCTCATTGTGCCCTTTTGTGCTTCCAGTTGCAATAAAAAGGGAGTCATTTTGTGAAAGTGATGTTATCTGTTAATAATTACAAAATACATATTGCTACATATAAAATTGAGATAATTCTTGAAATCTGTTCTTATTAGATAATCTGTTTAATTCTCAATAAAATTCTATTTGTAATGAATAATCTATCTCAAAATACATTACCTCGTTATCCATTTGATCGACTGTTTTTGTCGTTATTCTGACAAATTTGAATATAAATTTTGAATATGTGTGTCAAACAAAACAATCACATAAACCAAGGTCACCGCCAACTGTCACTTTTCAGGTTCAGTTTGATTTGATTAATAACATCAGTCTCTAATCTCTCTTCGTTGTACACTCAGAGAGAAGACTGAGAGCGTTCTATAAGAGAAAGTATATCACTTTTCCTCCCTGTAAGCCAGCGCAATGTCCATGAGTGGTGCACATTGGTAACTACGTAGCCATGTCCACGAACGACTTGTCGGTACGTACGTTATGTTCAAACACGGACATAATTCTATTTCGTGCTATGTCCATGCGGTTCTGTCCCGTGCTATGTGCAAGTGTCGAGTTGAGAAAGGTCGAGCAACCGGCTAGCTAGCACCAAAGTGGTAGAGATACGCACATGAAAAACTAAAGTAAAGTCACGTGTTGTTTTTTCTTTCTTCCTTGTCACATGATTTTACTGTAGTCACGTTATTAAAGACACGTGACTAAAGTAAATATGTTTTTATTCAAATGTTTTTCGATATTCGTATTTTAATAAAGCTTTACATTATTATATTTTAGAGAAATTCAATTTAGTGACTAAAATATAGATGTTAAAGAGAGAGGAAGGGAGGGAAGGAGAAAGAAAATGTAAAAGTATTTGACCTAAGAAAATCTCAATTTCACGAGCGTGAATATATATTTCGCGTCTAAACTAAAACGAACAAGATAGAAGAAAGTTTCGTCCGTTTTTAAATGTTACAATTACAAAAATATAAATATACAACAAATATATAAAAATGTTTTTTTTACCTCTCGCTGTCTTTTTACTAAATTTACTATCACTTGTTTTTAATTATATGTGTGTTTTGCAAATATTTAACTTTATTCTGTTACTTTTTTATGAATACACATCTGCTCATCTAACTCATCCACTTCCTTTGATGGTTCGTCGGCGTTTGGCTGTAACTGTGACAAGTTTCTTCCATATGGCTCTAAATTAAAAGTATGAAAATTGTGCAAAAGAGATACATCGCAGTACTGACATCGCAGTTCTTTATACACTGCCTCCAGACACGGATGAAAGATTCTATTGCATAGTGGGCACACATGATATTCCCACTGTACCTGCAGCAATGTCACTGAACATCTGGATAACTTGTGGCCGTTTGGGCATACGCTAGATTTCCAAAGCTCTTCTATCGGTTCACTGCATATGTGGCACTTTTCAGTTTCATTAGGATACATTGCAACTGCTTTCAATATCTCTCGAGCATGTTGCTGCACAACGTTCTCATTGTTCTCATCATTTACATATATTTCTATGTAATTTCTCAGCAGAGTAATGGCAAGTGTTTCATCTGTTGATAATTCATTCTTTCTTATTAAACTTTCAAGATACGCGCAAGCAGAATGCACAAAGATTAATGAAATCAGTCTTTTTATACTGATCTCGCTTATTTGATCAATCCTTGAAATTGACTTCTTAGTTGTACACATATTAATCATTATTGCCATCCACATTGATAACTGCAAATCATAGAGCGACAAGCTGAGCTCTTCTGGGATTGAGCCGAATATCGTCTTTGGATCATCCGCTTTAACAGCTTTGAGTCTAAGTACTTCCAAACAATCCCAAACACTTAAGAGAGAAGTATTACTATTTTTAATAATAGATAAAGGATTTGATAATTCTTCCAAAGCAAATACAAGCATCACACTTGGTTCTCTTAGAATCAAATGATCATAGGTCACAGTCGGACTAGTTACAATTACTACCATTGCTTTATTTGGTGAATGAGCAAGTCCTAAATATTGAACATGTAGTTGCGGTAAATGATTTTTAATATTAATACTGTTTAAACTGTTAGATTGTGTATCAACAATAATAGTACGACAATCCTGTGTAGTTATCAACACCTGTTGATCATGAATAGGAATTATACCTGTAAATGTGTGTGTGTGTATATTAACAAATCATATAGTTATAATTTGTTCGTAATAATTAATTGTAAGTCATAATTCTTGCATATATACCTACCAGTAATACTGAAACCTTCTATTTGTAAATGTTGGATACTTTTTAATTTCCCTTTAGAATTAATGCATATCAACAAGAGAAAAATTCCTTTAACAACAAGAAACCTTATTTCTGATTCATCTTGAGAAAGTATTTGTATATTATCGATTGCTATGCAATCAGAATCAAAATATGTTATAGTTGACGTTACTTGCACGTCATTATTATCATCTCTACATATTAATTCTACACTACATAGTTGTCCTGTGTAATATCCTACTATGAGCAGATGATTATCTTTCGTCAAAGAAATCCAATGTAATAAAGTAATTTTTTCAGGAATTTTTAAATTTATACTGCCAACAAGCAATAGCTGTATTTCATTTGTTAAATTTGAAATTTTAGGAATTTTTAAAACAGATATATCACCACTACGATAAGCTACACAAAAATATGTAAAAACTGTTTTTTTTACTTCAAAGAGTTTGCTCCAAGTCATGGAACAAGCTTGCACCTGTCTTAAGCTTTGAATTATTTCTGCATAATTAGAGTCTCTCTTACATTGTTTAAGAGTAGATGTAATAGAATTTTCTAAGTTTTTCATCCGAAAAGAGGAAACATCATATATGGAATACCATTCGTCAAAAACTTTATGCAGTAATTCAACTGCGCCTGCTTTAGTGAGAATTGCAAGTATACTATGATTTGAGAAAATCAAATTTTTTGGTGACCATGCTACTTTTTCTATACTCAAAATTGTATCATTTACATCCTTCATTCGTGGCGTAAGTGCTTCTTCCATTAACATTAAATATAGATCTTGATGATCTAAATTCCATATTAATGACTGCATCTTTTCTACAAATGTAAACGTTGGTAATATATCAGAAGGATATATAAATGAACGGGCAAATTTTATAGTTGGATTAGAAGACATTGGAGAAGGTTTAAGTTCCTGCAAAATAAAAAAAAAGACTACACGTTAATGTAACGATTATTTTATATAAATACACAATAAGGAGAAACTGAGCTATACATGACTTACAAATATATGAACTCCTTTTTCTGTAATTAGCGAAATCTGATTATCAGGTGACCATTGTAACGAGAATGGGGTTGTTACTAGCGGTGAAATATTGATTGTACAAAGTTCTTCCGTTTCCAAACATGGATTTTTCTTCTCAAAATATCGCACCATTTTATTCTACAAGCCATAAATATTTTTTAATTTTTTCAAAGCCATAAGGTTCTCGAAATAGCGCATTTTTGTTCCTGAGCGTCCCAGTCAAGAGATTAAACACACAGCACTAAGCTATACTGCGTTCTGCCAACCTAACCTAACCTAACCTAACTTAATGGTCCTACCAGAAAAAGCGTGGGCAAATAACCAGAATCAATTCTATCGATCTTGATTGTTGCCTCTTTTCCGCGACGTTGATTAAACTCGCGTTGATTAAACGTCTCGGTGAATATACAGACTACTATAGCAAAACATACGCTATGCTTTGCTTTGCTTAAAATCAAAAAATTATGTCGTCGACCGAGAAACGATACTTCCGTGACGACGGTTACGTTGGAACTGTCTCGGTGACGTTTCTCGGATAATGTGTTTCTCGATTCATGTCATACTGTCGTACGTGTACTAGCTGTCATCGCGGTGACAGGTTGTGTTCACTTCACTGACAACACGTTAAGGCTAATATTACATTTGTCGTACGACAAAGATCTTAAGTATGTTGATTGGCTATCAGATAGAGTTTTATAAAGAACTGTATTTGATAGCCAATCAATGTACTTAAAATCATTGTCGTACGACAAATGTAATACTAGCCTAAGGCCCTGTTCGGTTATTACTGGCAGTATTGAAAAATCTATAGTATACGTGACATGAATCTATAGATTTTCAGTACTGCCAGTAAAAAACGAACGTAGCCTAAATAAAAATAACAATAGCGTGCGCGTAGCGCGCGCCTGTGTTGTGCTAGTTACGTTCAAAAAACTCAACGGGAGAGATCGTCACTTATGATAGAACTATTCTTCAAAACCTGCTAGATTCGAAAAGTATGATCCAATCATAAGTGATTATCTCTCAACCGTTATGCAACTGTTGAGTTATCTGAATGCACCCAATCTCTATGGCTAGTTTTAAAAATCTATACTTTATGTCACATGTGCCATAAAATTTCCAGTACTGGCAGTAAATATCGTTCTCGTGAAATTGACCAATCACAATATCGATGAGTCAAAGTGATTGGTTACATTTAATCTAATACTATTTTTAGATTACAAAATCCCTACTATAAAAAATGCTAGTAGAAACTATATATCAAAGGTGGTATTCAGTAAAAGCGCGCGAGCCGGTAGATATTTATTTGGGACGGAATAACCTGAAATCTCTCTTCGTAACACATTTGTGATATTTACGTTGAATAAGATCTTCTTATTGTATATTGACAGTACGTTGTGATAAAACATGGAAACGTCAAGCGAAATTCAAGAGAAGCTCGATCAGTCCATTCGTTTGCTGAATCGACAAAACGCTCAACGAAAAACATTCTTGAGGTTAAGCGGTAAGAGCACCACTCCGAAAAGGATATCCTTGCAAACGGCTGGTCAGTTGCGAAAGGATGCTGACGATAGTAGACTCGATGACACCAGAGAAATCGATATCGACTCTTCTTTGACTCTCGCTCCTCACGAAATCCGTGACATAATGGCTCGCTCTGAAATGAATGATATTACAATCAGAGAGATGATGGAAAACAGCACGATGACCGGGACAATTCTCAGAGCGAATGAGCCATGGCGGGAGGTGAAAGCAAAACTCTATTATGACTTCTTGCAGAGTATGCAGACACACTTTTCTGAAGCACAGGTCTTTGATGTCATTGCGGACTTTATACAGAATTGTACTGATACTTTAGATATAATAAGAGGTATAAACAAATATATTGGGAACTGTTAGCTGATTACATTTTGTAATACTATATTACTTTGTCATGCTATATTGTCTTTGACAGATGTTCACTGAAATATATTAATTTTACTAGGTATGCAATCAAAAGTTGAAAATATGGAATTATTGGAGGAAGAAAATTCTTTGGAGAGTGAGAGAAATACTTGGAGACTAATATATTGTCTATATCAGAATCGTATAAGCAATGTCGGTATGTCCAATCAAATGGATCATGACGGACATGTAAACAACAATTATGTTTCTGAAAAAGATGTTATAGAAAACTTGTATAAATCTGAGAGTTATATTAGGGAGTATCAGTTGATTATTGACTGGTTAGAAAAGAACGCTGTGGATGTGGCAGACAAATTCCCATCTATAGAACTCTTCTCTGATAAAACAGTAGCTTGGGAAAATACACTTCATCAATTACAAAATCCAAATTTAGGAGGAATTGCATTTAGCTCATCCAGACCACTTGTGTCATCTCTTGATCCTGATGCACCAATACGAGAGAATAAACCGTTACATGATTTAGACAGAGAAGATGATGCCAGACTTGAAAAAAGAATGTTTATAGAAGTATATACATTTTCTAACTATATTTAAAATTTTAAGAAATTTTATATAAATATGTGTAACTTTATGTAGAGAGAGAGAGAGAGAGAGAGAGAGAGAAATAACAGTATAGTTATATTTCATATACTCTAAGAAACTTTACATGTAGGTACGTTGTGGGCGTCTAGACAAAGCACAATCATTAGCTATGCATTGCGGTCAACTTTGGAGAGCTGCATCTTTATTAGGTTGGATTCCTAATCATGATCCAAATTTCAATAATCCAATAACAGACATGAAATCACCAATCGAAGGAAATCCTAATAGAAGTCTTTGGAAATTGTGTGCTTGGGAAATGTCTCAAGACAAACGCATAGGTAGTCAATTTCTGCAGTATTCGCTGAAATATTTGGAAATATTTGTAATTTATATTATTTTTATGTGGTTACAGGTGTATTTTATCGTGCTATCTATGCAAGTTTTTGTGGCAATGTTCAACTACTACTTCAAATAGCATCATCGTGGCAAGATGCATTATGGGCATACATGAAAACTCTCTTAGATATCAAAGTAGAGGCTGCGTTAAGATGCGTGATGGTAAAAATTTATACAGGTTTGCCGGAAGAATATTGGAAAAATGAAATCTCGTTAGAAGATGTGTTTAAAGAGCTACACGCATCCAAGAATCCAATGATACGTGCTCAATCAAACAAACCAGATTATTTAATACAGAAATATATAATATTGGATCAGATACCACAGCTGATGGAAGAGATCGAAAATATGATAGATGGTCCCACTTGTGACTCGCAGTTCCTCCGATTCCTAGCACATTTAATATTATTTTTCAGACAAATCGGAAGAAGTACAAAGGATAAAATAGAAGACAAAGTATTGCTAACTTATGTTCGTGTTCTGATTCAAATGGGCGATCCGATTTTAATCGCGTTTTACACAGCTACGTTACCTCAGGAGGATCAAATAACTATCTATGCCTCTTATTTAGAAGGTGTCAAGGAACACGAACAACGCAAGAAATGTTTACGCGCAGCGGAAGACGCAAACTTAAATGTAGAAGCAATCACGAAATTAGTAGTAGAAAATATACGTAAAAAGAATGTAGAAATTGATTCAACTGATCTAAAAGGAACTGTCACCGATGCAGACTTAGAAAAAGTCAATGCATTGGACTGGCTACTTTTCTATCAAAGTCAGAAAGAGGAGGCAATATGGCAAACAAACGCGCTCATTAGATATTTTCTCACTAATGAAAGGATAGACGCGGCGCGAAAAGCATTTAACAAGATCCCGGCAGATGCTATTGAAACAGTCATGTCGGATTACCCAAGCATAAATTGCACGCTTACGAATCTTACAATAACGAACAATTTGTCGAAACGAGCGGTTTCTTCGATAAGAGAATACTTTTGTTACAAAATGTACCTTGACGCGCAAGAGGGTTTCAGCGAATGGTTCTCTCATTTCCATCACGGCAAACCGGCACCGCTGAAAGAATTGCCGGCGTACGCAACGTTTACTGAAAAAGTCGCATACGATCACAGAAAGACGCAATACAATGTCGAAATGAAAAGATGGAAAGACACGATGCAACATCATACAGAGGTATGAAGAATTATAAAAATTATTAATGGAAACAAACAAACTCATAAAATACTATATCTGTTCTCAGGCTGTGAAGCAGTATCTTTTTAATGTTCTTCTATTCCCGGATGGTGGTTGGCTTGTTGATTCGAAGAATAGCAACGACGAACCGTGCACACCCGAAGACGAACTAAGGCAACATCAATTAGAAAAGCTTCGTGAACTCTGTATTCCTAAAATCACGCTTTTACTGCACTCGGTTATGTCCGAAATGAATGAACATGCCGAGTGCATTCGCTTAGCTGACATACTCGCGTCCGAACAACATCAGCTGTACAAAGTATGTAAAGTAATAAGAAAACACATGAAAAGCTTACGTGAAACTGTATACTAACATATTTGTATTTTTCTTCCAAACAGGTATTTTCAAAGGGAAAGTTACGCGAAGTATTTAAAAAGATTTGCGAATCTTCTCTTGTCTTGATGGATCAGAAGAAAGATCCTTGGGGATATTCGAAATAATCTGAAAATAAAAACTCAATAGCCGTGTAAATATATTACTTTGTATAAGGTCGCATTTTTATAATGTAATTTATATTGTCGGACGTTTTTTTACACTTCTAGAGCTGGCGCATTAAACGTACAATCTTGAGAAAAAAAATTCTCTTCCTCTACTCTGTTTTTTTTTTTATAAAACCAGTTTATTGTCAACCACAAGAAGTGAATATAAAATTTGATATAATGTTCAATAATTCATAATCATAATATATATCATATCGTGATTACTTAGATATGCTCCTTTTACCCAATTGTTAATAAATGTAGCGCTATCAAAGCCGTTAAGATTATATTGTGTGAAATATGTGTGTGACAAAGAAAAAACTCATAGTAGTATCGATAAAAGAGCAGAATATCCTGAGACACATTTCGTAGCGACACTTCGAGAAATTCGATTGACAGAGCCGATAGACGCGTCTATCTCGTATTCTGATCGAGTTACGCGCGGGCAATATCGGGCATAGAGTAGTAATCGCGCACGACGACAACAACAACAAATCTCGATGCGTAATACAAGAAATATAATTACAATAATACCGTAAACATAAAGTTCTGAGAATGCATTTTCATAAAACGGATACAAAAGGTGATATGATGGATGTTCTACTCTATTATTACGTCGATGGGAACGATGTTTCTTCTCGACGAGAGCAGTCTTCTTTTCGCAGAACCTTTTTCTTTTTCTCGTAAGTAAACACAGCATGATTTTAAATCCCGACATGCGTCTTTTCTATAATTAACGCTATACAATTCAACCGAGACACTTACACGTTACGTATAGACTATATGAAGAAAAATTAACATTTCGATCAAGTGTCTTCATCTAAACAATCGGAATTTTACGACGCTCCGACCCGCGTCAGCCGGTGTTCTTTTTCTTCTTTTTTGTTTTTTTGTTTTTTTATTTTTTTTTTGTTTTTGTTTTTATCTTACACGAGACGAGACGAGATATGTCAGAGATTTCAAGATTGACTTTTCTCATTAAGTGTTTTTTTTTTTTTTTTTTTTTTTTTATACATACAATGGTTGGCTCACTATGATGAAATTCATGCGCACTGAGATATCTTAATACTTTCTACAGACAAATTTGCTTCAGGACGAATAAAGAAGTTTGTTAGATAGATTATTTAGAACAACTTTCTTCTAAATACACATGAGAAAAACCATCGTGAATGATGCTTTAATACGCGAAATGGAGTCGTTTCACACATCTGATTGTTGAAGAAACGAAAAATTTAAATATTTATCATATTTCGACCGCGCTGAAAGATATCAGAATCTCTGAACTTCGAAATCCACTTCGAATACGTTTTTTTAATTTCCGTACTCCGTTACCTTTGTATTTATCGCGAGAAATTTTGCGGGAAATGGAATTATTACATCTAATGATATATTTTTTTTTTTTTTGTTACCGATTTGAAACAATTTGATGAGAAATTTTACTACTTTCTATATATGTGTATAATATCTTTCAGCACGACTTTTTCATTGTGAAATCATCCTCTATAATGAAAAGAGGATGTCACGCGCGCAATGACGGAGAGATTCGCTTCGGTAATCATATTGAATTTAAATTCGTATACAGGTTGTGGAGATACACATGATCATTCGTCGCGAATGAACTCGCATATGTGTGTTCGTAACAGACGGTGCATTCACTCGTAACAAGAGATAACGAGTGCCTTGTTCTCTCCATCCTCCACTTGTCGATAGAATTCGTGATAATAACGATTAGACGATTAGAGTCGAGTTAATTGTTAATAAGCTAGCCTAACACTTAAATGTCAAAGAGAAACAAAACGGTTGACAATTCGAACTTTTTTCGGATACAATTCGACACACGCGGTGGTCATATAAAATTTCGCTCACCGACTAATCACTCATTTTTTTCTTTTTTTTTTTTTATTCGCTACAAGAGACATTCTAGTCGCTAAATGCGGATGCGTTTTTTTTTTTTTTTCGTTTGCGAATATGCTTCGACTTAGATCATGTTTCGTACATATTAACAAATCACCTCGTTTCCTTCGTTTATAACGCAAACTGTAAAATTTTCTTACCTACCTATCTCTTCCTTTATCGAGAAATTACAAGATTGTTCGTACTTAAACGATTCTCGGATATTACAGTACGTATATATATATATATATATATTGGATTTACAATATATATTTTTATCTGAAATATTAGTGTGCGTGTATACACAAATAATAAAGATAAAACGAAAAAATGAAAAACTTTTGCGGTAACACACACATTCGTCAAACAGTAAGATTGAAAATATAATAATACCACAAACACAATTTAATTGCAATTTAATAAGTGAACTGTATAAGTACAGTTGGATGTTTCCTGTTGAAACCACAGTATAACTTTTACACACATATACAATACAATTTCAAAATAATATGTTGCACAAAAAGTTTTTAATAATTGATGATCAATGTCCGCGTAAAGTGTCGGATACTAATTGATAAAATTTGCAACATTGTTCAAAATGTTTTTGTTTGCGTAGAGATTTTCGAAAAACGTATGAAATCCACATTATTGTACAAGCGCATCAAAACGCAACAGAAGCGTACTAAAATTGTACCAGCTTTCAAAAATGTTTTGTAAAACTTATCGTTAGCGTTTGATTATACAATTAGTTTTCACACACCGGAATTCGCTGCTTCAGGAAAACGTTTAGTCCACACATGGTCAAGTTTCATTCTATTCCACCGCACTTGTGTCGTTTCACATATCTTTTATATATATATATATATATGTATATTTAATAATAGTGCATGGATGGAAGCTTATAAGTAGTCGTTTTAGTGTGTTAATTCAAAGATAGAATCTAGAGTTGTAAATATATGTTACGCGCTAAATACCGCTAACAATTCAAAATCACGAAACTGTACAACATTGACGCTCGCGATAATTTCCATACTGAATGACTAATACTTTCTATGTTTTTTTGTGTGTGTTTTATAGTCTCCATCGACGCAGACACGCTTCTTTTACTCTCTTTTTATACACATTAATATATAGTAATATATAGCCGAGAGAAGTTCTCTTAAGAATCTAAACTATTGTCTCTTATGAACTAAACAACTTGGGATGTGTTCGGATTGCTCCTGGAAAAATGTCCAACCCCGAACTAATTGAGAAGAAATTTCATTACGTGTAATTATTAAAATAATTTAATCAAGTTAAACAAAAGCAGTTTAAGTAAAACGAATAAAATTATATTTTCCTAAACTATGTAAAAGTAGTAATTGATAAAGATATCAAATATTTTCTCCTTGTATTCTTCCGCGCACCGACATTTATATTTGACTCTTAAAAGTCTTATTTGTTTTCTTAGTTTATTTCTTCTACTATTCGTGTTTTGTGAAACGAATGGTTTTGACGCATAAAATAATATAAAAAGTATTTAGAAAAATATAATTTAAAGGTGAATTTTAAATATAAATTTGTGTTTCTCTCTAACAATTTGAGCTAAAGCCAAAACTTGTTAAACAGACTAGCTTAATATCGATAATCGCTGAAATTGTAACTAAATGTTCTTTGTACCATTATGAGAATGATGTGTGTATATATATATATATATTTTTTTTTATCTCTATATATTATTGTCTACGTATTATCTGTACATATGTTTATTTGTCATGCGAATGGAACATTTTCATCTATACGCGACTTACAAGTTACATGCTTTATTGCAGAACACGATTTGTTGATTTGAATGTCTCGTATGTTTATTAGATCATCAAGTATAACAAATATGTATATGTATATATTTGACAAATATATACATATACAAACATATATATATATATATTTGTCAAATTTCATACTTACTGATCCAATATATACGCGAATAATCGATTAATGAGTGAGTAATATTCATTAGATATAGATTTACGAGTTTTGATTATGGTGATGTGTTGCAAAATGGAAAACAATCTTTTGTTTTTCCAGGAGCACTCTTCTTTTATTGTCGATCCTGCAAGTTGATAATTTATGTATTGTCATTCACAGTAGTTTTTATCCGCTTATAAACTAGAATCTCTCGCTCTGGAACAATCCCCTTAGAAAAACGAACAAATGAAAAATATAGCAATAGCCTACATCTCGAAATTACATTATTAATTACATTCGAGTGAAGATCTCGTTATTGATCTCGAAATTGCTCTCGAGTATTGTCGAAAATTCAGCGACACAGACATCGATTAAATGTTCTTATTATCATTTATTAATTTTTTTCTTTACTTACACTTTATTAGCACGATCCATGTTACGATCTCTATCAGTTTTTTGTGGTATTGTCTTTCTCGTAAAGTTACGATGATGTAAGTTTCAGTTTTGCGTACGTATGACACATGTATGTGTATGTTTATAAATATATATGCGCATGTTATAAATTACAATTGAATTACAGACTGGTCTTTATGCGATAAAAGCGGTTAAATCGCAAAGAATTTTCTGCTGTAAATTTTGCGGACACCCCGGCACTTAGGAGTTGGACACACATTCAAAAATTGATATCATGAGAGAAACATTACACTAAGTTCACTACTCTAATTTGATTATGTATTCCGTTGATTTTTCTTGGTTGTACGTCTTTTATATATCCCTTGCACGTTGCGCGACATAGATTTTTATTTAACGTCTACAAATATCCGCCGTAGGCTGTCGGTTTTCCAATGTTTTTTTGTCAATGAATTTTTTATGCGCTTCTTTTTCTTTTTTTGCGGGGGAATTATTACATGTTATATCTAAGTCGACGTACGGAAAACACAAGTGAAATTTGTATTGAACATTTCGAAGAAACCACTTTTGAAAACAGTTTCTTCTTATCACTTTCTTTAGTTTCTTTTATACTTTCTTTATGATAACGCGGGTTTCACCCACGCGCTTTACACGCTTCACGCACAAGAGACCAATTCCAAAATACTACACGGTGTCCCTTTGCCAAGTGGTTTTCCTAATCCTTTTTGTTAATTAAAGACATTTTTATTATCTGTACCCAAGGCACATTTTAAACTATCATTCCGTTGTAGGAAGGTCCACTCCGTAATATATACATATAAGCATTGTTACATGCATAAAGTAAGGATAGTTTGTAACTTGCATTCCTTAAGTATTAATTTTTTTTCCTTATTTCCTTGTACATAGGTCACATAGCAATTTTTTCGTTTTTTCTTTCTCTCTTTCTCTCTCTCTTTCTCTCTTTTGTTTTACTACTCTACATATTATTGTCAAGTCGACAGCATTTATAAATGTACTTCTTATATACTATTCCCGACGCTTAAAATTATATTTAAGATCAACTATAACTTTGTGCAAAATTTACATTATATATATGTATATATATATACTGCACTGAGATGTGCGCGATTTATCTCTCTTTTCCTCTTCCTTCGGTATTAAATTATATATATATATTTCTTAAATCAGTTCGTGTTTTATATATTTCGATATATATCCTTCCCCTAATAAATTCTCGTTTATTATTGTCGGAATTTCATTGGTTATTCGGTTGTAATTATGATTATTGTCAGAATTCCATTGAGATTACCCAGTCCGGATCCAAAATTATTGTCAGAATTTCATTAGTTTCTCTTCTCCCTTTCTGTCCTGATCGCAATTATTGTCAGGATTCCATTGGTTATCCAGTCTTGATCACGATTATTGTCAGAATTTCATTGGCTACCCAACAGTGATCGCTATCTATTTCAATCAGTTTTGATTTTATATCGTTAAAGAATATTGAAATTTCGCGTCCCTGTGTACATGTTCATACGTATATAATATGTGTGTATGCGTGTATCTGTGTATACATATATGTATATATACTATATATATACATATATATATAATATATATATATATAATATGAAATATTGAATCTGATAGGTCTTAAAAATATTTTGCTAATCTTTTATCTTACGAGTAGACCTTACGTGCTATACTTTCTTACAACCTTGTATCGTGTTTCGTCGATTTTAACAATCGTGTGTACATAGCTAGAATTTTGTTAATCACCTTAGATCGATCAATTTTCGTCGTAATTTTTGTCTCCTATTACTTGTTCCGCGTTAAAAAAAGAAAATTCAAGAAGATTCATCTTGAAAACAAATAGAATGTGATTAGAGACATTACAAACGTCGCAAACGTAGGCAGAACTTGATTGACGCCATTTACGTTTTTCTTCTGGTATCCTTCGTCAACAACATTGATCTTCCAGCCCAAATGGTTGTGCGTGTAACACTATATAAAAAGAGAAAGTAATACGAAAAATATATATTTTTCTTTTTTTCGAAAATTTGGAAAACTTTAATGATTTTTATTAAAGTAATCTTTTATCTTTTTATTAAAGTAATCTTTATCGGTACTAATTATTTATATATTTGTTATCAGTTAAGATCGGGCTTTTTTATGACAAATGCATACCTGATAATATACTAAGTCAGGTGTGTTCTCTTCCACGGTCCATTCTAGCTTGGCAGGCTCGCCTTTTTCGCATTTAAGCTCGAGTGTTTGAAAGAAGCTCTTAAATGTCTCGTAATTATCCGCGTTATCAACTACAATGCGCTCCCACTCGCAGTAACGACCAGCTGCGGTTGGATAGGGATATCCGTCGGAATCGTAGGCTACGCCAGCGAATATCTTCTGCTCCATCTGTTGCTGTTCGCTCTTTTGCCCGAAACCACCTTCCGAACTGTCAGTTATATAGAACGGATGATATCTGTGAACAACGTACGAAATGTTTCGTATCATATCGACGCCGATTTTGATTTCTACGGATGTGTGTGTTTCAAAGAACGTCATCGTGAATAAGAATACGACTTACTTAGCAGGATTGGCAGGATCGTTTCCACCCTCGACAATAAAGGTATAGGTTTTACCTCGCTCGACGGTGATCTCCGGGATCAGCAAGTCATTGATATACCAAGCAATGCCCCAAGAGGGAGTACCTAAATTGCAATAAGGATTTAGTCACAGATCAGTAATCAGTATACGTTATTATATATATATATATATATATATATGATATTTTTCGAATAACAGGAATTTACCGAGATAATTCAACAATTTTGTAATTAAATATGTGAATGAAACAGGTCAATCAGAAATCCAAACACAATTGGTGTCTTTTTTTAACTTTGTATTATTATGAACAGATTGCGATTTACGTCTCAAATCGCAAAAAAATACACAATCAATCGTGTTTGGATTCATATATTGGCTTATTTCATTTATTTAAAAATTTTAAACTATTACTATTGTGTATTAATCATTTTTATAATGTGTATATATTAATGCAAATCTCTTTCAAATTTATTAATACGAGAGATATCTGAGATAAGATTGAAATAAGATGCATAGTTTTATAAATTACAATTTAATTGAACAATATTTGTTTTAAAGTACATAAACGTACTATGATGTTACACATTTGGCGTATAAATCAAGCTTTTATTTGTTACTCATCAGAAACAAATTAAACACGCACGTACCTGTTATTCGCGAATAACCCCTTTTCGCGCCAGTCGGTCCGATTCTTGCGGTGAAAGTATTTGTATCAGTAATAACCGCCGGTACCCAGGGTTCGATCTCGGGCTCGTTTGGAATATTATACAGAGAATTCGTACACTCGTGAACATTGTGCCTTGTCGTAAAATCGATACGAATATCTTCCGTGGTCTTATCGAATTTCTCATGAGCATTGGCTTCGCCCCGCACGTTTAGAGGTCCGATGGCAGCGATCACGCTCGTTTCCCTTTCAGGAATCATTCTATCTTTCTCCGGTTCGTTAGTTCGAAGTGGACGCGTATACGTAACTGTAATTAAAATAAAATCGCACGCTAACGGATGTTTTCGACCTTTGTATATATATATATATACATACATATATATATGTATATATATATACATATAATATATACACAGCAGAGTTCCCCATTTGTCACGCCGTCGAAACCCATTAACTCAGTATTCACGACAGAAACGTACCAGTTGTTATACCGTTCTTTCGTTCTCCATGCACAAACACCGCGTCATTCTTGCCGCCAACCCTCTTATCGGGGCACACGCCCTTCTTGCCGTCGCACTGACTGATAGCTGACAAGTAATAATCCTCGGCGATGAATCTGCCGGTCTTGTTGTCGTATCCGATCACAACGACATCTCCGCCGACCATCTCGGCCTTGCCTTCCTTTCCCGACAACCCGAACGCGACGTACTGGTCCTCTCTAATACGTCCCGAAACCCGGATCTGCACGTCCTCGCCAAGCAGCTGCCATTGCACTTGAACACGACCCTCCAACATCTCCTTACAATTGTTGACTGGCTTTGGCGTTGGTGTGCTACTTGTCTTAATAAGAAAAGAGCGAACTATTACTTTACCGCCGTTTGTTTGTGCAACAAAATTTTCTACGTGCCAGTCGTGTACTTACTGGATTGTACCACCACGGCGGCTATTCCATTTAAAAATCAAGAACGACGTTATTAAAGAAAAAGAATATATCACAAATAAACAAATATTTGTACATTATATAATGTACAAAAATATAAGAAATGAATTTTTTTACGATTACAGTTACTCGGTTTTTAAATAGGATATAGGACTTTAACTTCAGAGCTAAAATCTGCTAAAACAAGATTGGTCCGGTTGCTTGAGAATAACAAAAAAGAGCCTCGCTAAGGTTTCATTCAACCTAAAATATTAAAGTTACGTGCATTTTATCAGAGAAAGGCGCAAATGTTCCTCTTCACAGTGCATTCAATACGTCTCTATTAAAGCGAAGCCTTTCATCGTGTATATCAAAGAGCAGAGTCGCGCATATTATCATAGTGAACGTTAATGAGGGTACGTAAGGTACGAAGTTTGAGACATATCAGGTCGGTGGATTGGAGAACTCATTTTGGTTTACCGTAATTTTCGTCTGGCCGAGAGCCGGTGGGACGTCGAGGTCCTTTGGAATTAGAACATGCCCGAAATTGTGTCTGTATTCAACGCACCACACCGCAAGCCAGTTGATGTCGTACACTGTCAGTTTTCCCGGCAAGACGATCTCAATGTCCTCTCCTTGGTAGCCTCTTAATGGTGCCAGACTGTCAGCAAATAGGATCGATAATTATCTCGGCACATAGAACAAACAGTGCGCGTCTTATTATATTCAATTAAAAAAAAAAAAAATCAATCTTTAATTCGTTGAAAAAACTTATATATTTTTTATGAATGTTTGGTAAAATTTGTTGAAACTAACGTTAAAAGTACTATATTATATTAAATTATGTATAACTTTGACAAATACTTTGACAAATAGAAGAATGAAAAATTGTATTATTACACATAATTAACTATGTAAATCAGAATGATATAAAAATAAAGGTTTATATAGAAAAATGTGTGACAACAAATTTGTTTTAAAAAGAAGTATAGCATAGCACATTATACTTTTGATCAATTTAAACTGCGTAAAATTAATTAATTTTGCACGTGCTTATTCACTTGCCATATAATTTATCGAATTATATACGAAATATGCATTTACTATTTCAATTTTTATTTTTATTTTATCAAATTGTTAATTCAAAAATAAATAATAGCAAACACTTCGTAATTTAAGAATTTATTTTATATATGTCAACTAACCTGCCCATTTCATTGGGAACTTTGATACCATAAATGTTGGGTTCTGAACCATTGCCTACCCAAAAGTAAGCGTCCGGACCGCCACCGTCGTAGTGTAAATTCGGAATGTAGATGGTTTTGCTGTCTAGAATACTAATGTTACCGCTGCGGAGACCGTGTGCTAATCTCGAAAATTCAGGGAGCACTTGTAATTTTGGTACCTTTAAGTCAGATGGAATAAAGACGTCGCCGAAATCAACCTAGAAAACAGATATAAACAAAACTAACATATTTTTTTTTTCGATCTTGTACGCGGATCAACTCTTCAAATTTATTAATTATCTTAGCGCACGTGCGCGCATTTTTCTGTGAATTTCCTAAATATTTGTTTTGTATATTTTCTACTTTACTTGTCAATGCACATCAGACAAAATGAGATTTACATCAAAATTTTTAAACCTTGGATCTTGAAGTAACGATCGCAAGAATAACTTTAAATAACGTTTTAAAACAAAATAAGAATTAGATCGTACGTCAATCGCATTCGCATTGTGTATATCTTACGGTTTTTGAAGTTGAAGTTGTGAAAATCATATCGACAAACCCGCTAATTTATCCTTCCGAGGATATGCATTTACACCCCACGGGGGGTGTCGAAAGAGTCGATTTATCATTCCCTATCCAGCGTTCGAGCTGACGCGACGTACCGATGAGGGGTCTCTCTCTCTCTCGACTCGTTTATATTCTAAGTTCCGTCAAACGTCTCAACGTGAGAGAAGTCGAGAAAAGAAAGAAAAAGAGAGAGACAGACGGTAAAGAGGCAAGATATCGGTTGAAGGTCCGTAAAATCCGAGAAACGGATTCTCCACCCTTACGTACACAGAGAGCAAAGTCATTCGTCCCCTCTTTCTCCGGGGAGCTTTATATACATTTTATGGCAGAAAACTCAACGTTCGGCAATTTCTCAACTCATTTCGAAATCCCGAACAAATCTATTTGTGAATGGCAAAATAGCAAGTCGTATGTAACATCGATCTTCTTTCCAGTAAATTTTTTTCTCGTCTCGCTAGAGAATAATATAAATCGAGTTTCGAAAAAATAATATGTTATTTTGATGAATTTTCTTACACAAGGAAGCTATTATCTTAATATATTATTTCGAGACAAAATACTTTTTATTGTAAACTTTATAAATTTTAAAAGTAAATGTTCGTGTGTTTTCAATATTATCTATAGTGTTTTATATAAATTATTTTAAAAAATCTAAAAGTAGTTTTTTGTGTAAAAAAATTAAATATTAATTGTATTAGTTTTCTTGAATGTAATTTTGCATAATTGAAATCGTGCGCTCTCTCACGCATGTCTGCACGCAAATTAGAATGGAAATATTACCGAGGTTTTGAGAGATGTTTTCTTTTCTCTTGTCACTTGCAATTCCGCTATTTCAATTATGATTAGGTAGTAATTGGATAATTAAAATTGAGGCGAATTTAATTAACCTGCTAAAACAGAAAGTAGATAAATGCTAGTGTCTCAGCGGGGCGGGAAATTAAATCAGGAAGATGTGTTGTGTGCGCGAGAAGACGCACGCGCGCGCGTGAAAATCCCAGCTGGCAAATAGTTCACTAACTAAGATTGTGTCTTCGGAATTGCAATGAGAGAAAGAGCTACGATTTTCTCTGGAAACAACCATTCCGAGGAATATGTTCTAGAAGTTTCGGAAATTACATTTTGCGGAATTCTGCGTGTAGTGCACAGATCAACGGCGTAGTTTTGCAAAAGTTCCTTTCTGAGATGTGCGTACATACGTGTGTGTCTTTAAGAATTTTGTCTTTAAGATGCATCTAACCGATAGAATATTTGGACAATTGATCATCTACGTTACCAACGCTAATATTCATTTAATATATTCGAAGAATTATCTTATTCGACTTTCGTAACTGTCGACTCATATCTCTTTCGCATCAAGTTTTATTAAAGATGACAAAATACACCGACAATAATTACTAACAATTATCATATCAAACATACATTGTTCTTTCCTTGAAATGAAGTCTAACAGTTGTGCTCTTGCTTATGAGAAGCAAGCTTTTCGAGTTCTCAAATTTCCAGACTAAATTAGTGGGCACGCGTACTAATTTCATCATTAATAACAATTATTTTCGAGAGAGAGAGAGAGAGAGAGAGAGAGAGACTGCGAAATTTGCATGCGCATTAATCCCATTTCGTTTAAGGGCTCGTCAATCATGCCGTGCACCCTCCACTTGCTGATGGCTCGATGTATGCTAAGTCCTGGATTGTTCTGTACGAATAAGCCGCGAGACGAGCTTAATAGCATTTTGAGCGTACTTAAAACTGGCTCTTCAAAGTGCTCTCCCTTATTATATTACAGTTAATGAGAGAATTAGAACATATTTATCATTTAAAAAAAAAAACTTGTTCTAAAGAGTAAACACACCAGACGTCCCTAATTGGTTGTGGAAAAGAAATCGCGCGAATAAATATTGAATCACTAAAATATAAAAAACTAAAGTATAAAAAATTAAAACTAAATCACAACATTTATAAACTCTCAAAATATTAATGCGCGCGCGAAAAAATTACATTACTATTATTATTATCACATTACATAATGACACTTATTTGTCGCAATACAGTTTCTCGATATAATTTTAAGTGTGTGTGTGCGCGCGCGCATGTAACTAATAACATCACACCCACAAAATAACTACAACTTTCAAACTAAATTTACGTCGAACTAATTCCGGAGTCTGCGATGATCGCTCTTTGTAAACGACAAGAAATTTACTTTCCATTTAACGATATTAATCTTCAACATTGACGTGTATTGGTAATAAACTCGATAGCACCTACGCAACTTTCCTTAATTAACGACGATGCGAGCGAATATCTGCGCGCATTTTCCATTTGTTGAAAATCAACGTGTTGATTTTCACATCGCACATCACGAGAAGATTTGCTATAAATAGAACGCGCGCAAAGTTCAATGAAATACCAAATTAGTGTCGAGAGCGCCCACGTCTAGCAACAATATAGTATCATGGTTTATTTTTGTAACGTACTTTGTTACGTGAGATCGGCTACGTGTAAGATAACAAATAAGATATTCAACCAGGAGATTTAGTGTGTGTAATTTTCATTTATTATTTTATTTATTTCTTTCGACTCTCTTTCTTTCTCTATGTAAGAAGAGTAACAATATATTTGTGTTACGACCGAATTATCGAGTTTCGGACTGTTATCAAAATTTTAAAATCACTTACCGTAAATTCAATAACGCAGATGTCGGAATATTGTATACTCGAGAACAAAATACCGCCAACAATTAAATGAACAATACTCAAGCTTTTTCAAATAAACTTAAATTAATATTTCACACAAATTATAACTTGCATATTATAATAGTATAATAACATGTGTAATTTTGCAAATTTTATTGTACAACAAGCGACTAGAGTTTAGAATATAATAGACTCTTTAAAAAGCTTGTTTTACATACATATGTATACTTATATTTTTACACATAAGAGTTTGAGAAAATGCAATTAAAAAGGAAAAAAAATTATCCGATTTAAATCAATTTCTTTCCAAGTTCCGAAATAATATATTCGAGATTACTGTTCGTGTTCTCAAATAAACAAATGATTTTCTCAATTAATTTTCCAATATCGATTAGATCTCGATCTCGATGTAAACGATATTTTTCATCAACAAACAACTTGGTCCCTCGCAATCGCTAATGCCTGTCAATCTTTCCGCGTCGTCTAATCTTCCCGCGATAATTTCCCGAGGAAAAGCTCCGTCTCGATCCGATTGTCCGCGATTGGTTGCTGCTGCATGAGGGACGCGTATCTCTCGGATTATAAACCGGGATGCGACCGGTGCTAGGGTTCCTCAATCCGATACCTTTGATGTAACCGTCACATCCCCCGGACTCCGAAGTTCCGTGCGGGGTCGTTGCTACGCCCCTTTCTCCCTAATAGACTGTTTATCTCGTAAGCTCAGATTTAGATTCGGATTAAAGTCTATTATGCCAAGATACATACTACATATCAGGATACGCGTGTGGGATGCACTTCACACAAGAGTGTAGTCATATTTTGCATAGCAAAAATATAGACGAAAATACATAAAGCTCGAAAATATATAATAAAAGACTTGTTTGTCTTTGTTTTCTCGTTGCAATTTCGTTTTTAAACATTTTCAAATGTAAGACATTTGAATAATCACATTTATCAAATAACGCGCTTTTTTTAGAAAAAAAAAAAAAAAGAGAGCCTTGCTTGCTCTCAAGTTCAGTTTTACGTTCTCGATTCAATAATTGCTAATTGACGTATTTCAACTTTGACAGCGTATGAAGAGTATTGTTAGAGAAAGAGAAAAGCCGAGAAAGTACACACGTGCTGCCGTGTATCAATCTTATTTTTGTTTTTTCTTTCTTTTTTTGTGTAATTTACGTGGTTTATTTTAGTTTACATGTTACAAATATAAATCTTACATTTGATAATCAAATTATTAAATGTTGCGATTTTGTGTGTAATAATTAAATTTGATAACACAACTTAAAGAAAGAAGTAAAAATATATTACGCATTTCTTTCTCTCTCTCAATCTTTTTATCTTTCTTTTCCCACATACATATTACGGGAGTGTTGTTTTCTCGCTTCCTGCGCAGTCGGGATCTGTGCGTTACTGATACACCCATTATAACCTGTGGGTGGCTACTCGAGCAGTCGATATTCAATCAAATAAATCCCTTCCCTAACAAACTGGAGAGTCACGAATAGTATTGAGAGAAAGAGAGAGAAAGAGAGAGAAAAACAATTAGAGAAAGAAGAGGAGGCAACAACGAGCCGGAAGAGAAAGAGAGGGAGAAAGATGAAGGGAGGAAATCCAGAGGGGAAAAAAATAAAGGGGGCATTACGTATCGGGGAGATTCCAGTTCCAAGCCGTGACTGTATATTATTTTAGCGCCTTATCAGGTCCGTATCACCCCTCGTCGCGCACGAGGGCGACGTCCCTCACGACACAATCGCCCCCCCTGTCGTGAGACACACGTCCTTTCGGAAATTGAGACATTGGCTCTTGTTAGATGATGCAATAGCATCGTTCGTCGTCCCTTGCGACCATTCCACCGCTCGAGGGCGTAAATGCAGTTTAATGCTTCGCAGTTTATTGCTGTAATGTAACGCGCCATCATTCCACAAAGATCTGTCTGTCGTATAGTCGATTAAACGCGA